TCTTGCTGAGGATGTTTACACCTCAGTCTCCAGTATGTTTGAAGCTAATGATAGACATTCAACCAGCCTGAAGTGGAATCAATCAATCAAAGTTATGTGGTTTTCTGTAAGTGGTGTAGTTTAAATGTGTAGTGAACAGAACACACATTTACCCTTTGGTTGGGGAGGAGGGTGGCACATTTTAGACTGTGTTCTGCCATTTTTAAACCAGTTTGTGTGTGCCAAACTTCTGTTCTGTTACAGGTATAGACCGGTTCTGATCACTTACACCAGTAAAAGGATAATGTCTTTACTTGGCCTGAGAGTGGTTGTAGTGGATTTCCCCAAAAGTTTTATTGCCTCATCTCCAGGAATGTCCCGTGAAAGTGAGAGTCAGTATGTGGGATGCACTAAAGAACACGTGCTTCTTGCAAAAACAGAGAGGTGATGTAGATATACCCTGAATCTCAGCTTTCCTCAAGTTGCCTCCTCAACTTTAGATGTCATAGATGGATAAAGCTCATTCTGGCCCAGGAGCCAAGCTTTCTGACTCAGCTGAGTTTTAATTTTGGTTTAAGTTGTCTTAGTGCTTCCTTAGTTAAACAGGTTAATGCCTTTTGGGTCTGATCCTCATTGGCTTCTTTTCATTCTTTTTTTTCTTTAGTGATCTTGTCCTTTTTGTTCTCACATTCTCAAAATGTAATATTGGACATTTGAATCAGTCATCATGAATATCACATCTTTGACTTAAAAAAGGGTAGTGACTAGAACAAATAAGTGGAAACTTGCTGATAATCAGAGAAAACTGGGATTCCCGAATAAAAAAATCCCCAATTTTCAGATAAAAAAGTAACCCAAAATCCACATTGTTCCTGGATTAAAATGAAACACCACTACTGTATATATTGATTGATAGATATCTATATAGTAGTGGTGTTTCATTTTAATCACAGGAAAATGTGGATTTTGGGTTACATTTGTAGTCCAAAAATTGGGGATATTTTATCAGAGAAAACCAAGATCCATGCTGATATTCCATAAAAGTTTCGTGTTACCAGTGAGGAACTCATATTCTGTGTTACTCAGCACCTGCAAATCTCTGAGCAACTCACAGTGTCTTTGCTGGGAAGAATTTGCCTAGCATTGCAGCTAGTTGGGTTTTTTGAGGGGGGAGGGAGTTGGGGGGTGTTTTTTGTTTTGTTTTTGTTATTTATCATTAGTCTTCCTTGAACTTTAACTGAACCGTGAAGATTAAGAACCTATAAAAAGTTTCAATAGCTACCCTTCAAGGATTTGACTTACCCATTGGATGTGCTATTTATAGTGTCCATTAGTGCAAATGTGTCTGTCCTTTTGCAGCAGTCATTTACAGCAAAAACACTGTTCTGCTGCTGAACAGCCTGCGCTTCCTGTGTCACCAAAAATATCCATCAAAGGAGTGCTATGCAGTGAGCCTTACTTGATAAAATCCCCAGAGGCAGTTGCTTTTTTTAAAATTTGTTTTGGAGATGTCTGAAATTTAAATTGTCGGTATTTGAGCAGGCTCTCTCTTTCTTTTTCTCTCCAGCATGTTTATTATGTCTGGGAAATGAGATTAGGATAAGAACTGAGATGGTGGGATCTGCCTGTAGGGCTGTGAAGGGTCTGGGAACACCGTTGACCCAGATTAAATGCAAATAAGTGAATCTATAAGAGGGAAGCTAACTGTTATTAAGATTTTGTTATATGCTTCTGGAGAAAGTCCTATACTGGCTGGGAAATGAATTGGAGATGACCAAGTAGGTGCTTTCTGTCTTTAGTTTCTGTGTTTCTTCCCAGAATACCAGATACGGACTCATCCCAATGTGTGCTAGGATCTGCATCTCACAAATCAAAAGTCAATCTGTTCAGTTTTTTTGGTTAAAATGTTCATGTCCAAATAAATCATGGAAAGTTTAAGTCATGCAGGAGCACCCCAAATTAGGCCTGGGTCCAAACTTCCCCACTCCAGTGAATCAATTTTAGTTAACTGTACAGTTTTGTAGATGACTTAGTGTTGTTGCTTCTGTCAACAGGACAGTAACTACTGAAAACTGCCAATTCATGAAAACTGGCAAAAGGTGTTGCATCCTCTTGGGGAAAACTTGCAGCTGGGTTTAACAAACACAAATGGGGAGGAAGCATTTACTGACATGTGGTGATGAATGAATTTGATGGTGATGGTTATTTTAAGTGGAGGAAATGTCCTCTGTAACATGCACATCCATGGACTGCTCCCTACACCTACCAAACTCCTTTTCCATTCTTCACACCTAATAAGACCTTACAAGTATAGCTCCATATTGGCTTTATCCTTGATAATTTGGAGGAGAAAATGATGGATAATCAGGAGAAGTGCAATATAAAATGGACGTCCCTTGCTCCTTGCATGCCCAATCTTGAAGGGTACTGCAAAATTCCAGTATGCAGAATTGTTATAGGGGGCTTCCGTAGGTTTCCAGAAAGTCAGGGTTGGACACAGACATGGGTGAACCGGTTGGCCACCCAGGGTCCAGACAAAAAGGGGGCCCAAAAATGATAATTTAAAAATTATTATTATCATTATCTCTGGCAAAGAGAAGCCCAATACTAAAAGTTCACCCAGGGCCAACAGGATTCTAGGTACGATGCTGCAGAAAGTAGCCAGCGTGCTAGAGGGCTACTACTCCCAATTGCCCACCTGCCAAGCATCTCATCTGCTTTGGACTTTTTTATACATATATTACTGTGGAAGGAATCCATTGGCTTCAATCAACAATCCATATACTTAGGTCAACAGAAGCAGATATACATAGTAGTCAGCTTTGGGAAATGAGCTATTCTAATAAGTGAAATCTATGTGTATTTCAATAACTATGCAACTATTTTGGTAACTATATAAGTGAATCTGGTATTAAATCACTGATGTTATATAAGAGGTTTCCAAACAGTATGTTCTGCCTTGTACATACTGAACATGTTGAATGCTGACGAAAAATGAAAGGAAAAGAAATAATTTGAAATGTTCATGAGAACTTTAAGATAACATCAGTTAAAAGCTAGTACATCTGTTAAAGCAGAAATACATATAGGGCATCAACTAATATATGCTCCCTGCCAACACATAATTTAGCTGAAGTAAGTGCTAAGGAGTAAGCTTTCATCTTTGCTGTCATTGATTAACGAATAGTCCATGATGTCATCATTGGACACTGACACAGAGACCCTCCCCCACGTGCTGTGCAGCTGCAAGTCGCACGCCAGAGCCTGGCAGCTCCAACATAACACTGTCCAGGACCACCTGGTGAGCGTCATCCTGGCCGCAGTGGGGGAGATCTCCATGAACCGCACCATCCCAGGCTGCAAGAGCCAGATGCAACCTGACATAGTCATCACCAACAGAGAGGCCAAGAAGGTCATGATTGTAGATGTCACCATCCCCTTCAAGAACCGGTGCCAAGCCTTCACCGACGCCCGGGCTTGCAAGTGGGAGAAGTACGCCCTGCTGGCCGACACCCTGAGGGGCCGTGGCTACGATGTGATGGTCAACACGCTCATCATGGGAATGCTCGGAGCCTGGGACCCCAGCAACGAGAGCGTCCTGTGTGCCTGCCGCGTCTCCCGCCGCTACGCCAAGCTGATGCGCTGCCTCATGGTGTCCGACACCATCCGTTGGTCCTGCGACATCTACGTGGAACACATCATGGGCCACCGCCAGTACTCCGACCCCAGCACGAGCCACCGCCGGACCAGACCCAGAAGGGACCACCTGAACTGCCCCTCCCCCCCCTCCATGCCAGACAGTCCTTCACTTCACTTCGGGAGGATTCTTCGACTACGGACAATCCTGCTCCACCCAAAGAGGACCACCACGATGAGACTCTATGTGGACTGAGGCACTTCCTCCAAACCACTTCCTCCACCATTGCGGACCATTGTAATGGGTTTGTGTGCATCTCCTTTCTCTCTCAGTGTCACGAACCCCCTCCCTCCCCTTCCCCCCATCCCCCACCCCTGGGCTTAATTGGCTAACATTGTATCTCCTGTAACCTAGTTGCATTCCCCTCCTCACCCCCATCCCTCTATTGTTAGTCCCTCGCTCGGGCGATCTGTATTTCCCTATCAGCTTTGTCATCCTTTTTCTGGACTCCCAATCCTAAACATATACAAATAAAAGTCAATCTGTTCTTTAATTTGCAGTTTCTAGCTCTCCTCAGCAACACGTAGATTTATTATTATATGCTGCAAGTGTGGGTATTATACAAGAATGGATATCTGTTGTGGCTGTGGTTTCAGTTGTCTTCAGTGTCTATATAATTGGCCTCAGTCTGAAACTTATTTTTACCCTTCGATCAGATATACCTAGGAAATAAAGTATTAATATAAACTAAATCTGGCCCCAAGTAGAAGGATATGTGTACTAGTGAATAAGGGAATATTGATACATCCACAGAAAAGAAATCCATTTTTTCTGAATTTTGGGGGGAAAATACTATCCAAAGCATGTGTAAAAACACGAACAATTCAATACATTAGCTGTCAAAACCCCATTGTTCAGTTTATTGTTGTAACTGTGTTTGTAAAATGCCATGATTGAAGAATCATATGTAAAAAAGCTTCTTTCTAGACATTTAATAAGCAATCATTTTAAAATTTTGCAGTTGCTGCAATTTCTAGCAGTTGCTGCATATTTCCCATACCAAAAATGAGAAACAATATTTAATAATGCTGTCTTATGTCATTCTCATTCTGAGCAGTAATATTCAACATAAATTTTACATATTTAGATTTCGGGTTGGTTTTCAGAAGTGCTCAGCACCTGGAAACTTTCACTGATATACTGAGATCTTTGGAAAATCTCCATCTTTAATGTTGTGTTTCATGGTTTGACAAAATATATGAAAGAAAATGAACTTAACAAATGAATAAATCTGGCTGTGTAATCTTTGCTTTAGTTGTGTTCTCTTTTCATCTCTTTTATTAATAAGATTGTATTTGTTCTGTTCATTTTGCTGCTACCACAGAAGAAGTTTCTGCAAGAATAGTCCAAGTAGTAACAGCTGAAGCTGTAGCAGTCCTGAAAGGTGAACAGGAAAAAGAAGCCCAGCACAAAGACCAGCCTGGACTGCCTTTAGGTAAAGCAGGGCATCTGCAAGAGAGAGGTATCTGTGTGTGTGTGTGTGTGTGTGTG